TTATTAACTGACAGCACCTCCATCTTGTGTGTTTATAATCTCAGATTGTTTCATCCTCATTCAGCTAGTTGTCAAGTTCATACAGCATTTAGGGGTACTACTTGCTTCTTTGGTATTGAATGACAAAGAGCTGTAGAGTATCATCAGTCTATTTTGGTGGTACTGTTTTCCAAAATTTAAAATGACCTCTTCTAACAGTTTCATATAGCTAATGAATAGCGTAGAAAATAAAATAGAGACTGTAGTATCAAATAAGTAGTCAACAAACAACATCTTCTGGATATGACCAGACCCACCCAGTACATTAAAAAAGAGTCTGGAAAGATACGATGATCAATAGTAGTGAAAACCTACTATTAGCTGAAAGTCCAATTTGAAATTTGTTCACATGATTTTAGCTGAAAGCCCAGTGTCATCCTTATACATCTAAAGTAGCAGTGCCACCAACAATCCATTTTTGTGTTTTTCTATTCATGTCTTTCTAGTCTTTCTAGTCTTGATGTACTCATAATAGGAAGTGCCAACTTTATTTTTTAACATTGTACCTTGAGAATCCAGTATGGAGGTTCTACAAAATTGGATAGTATTTATATCAGATATTTTACTTTCAACATTTTCTTCCAGCCCATTTGCTTACGTGGATCCCTTACATTGTAACATGGCCTATTTGTACCTTGAACTACTCAAAGACTCCCTCAACGAGTATGCATATGCAGCAGAACTAGCTGGCTTGAACTATGATCTCCAAAATACCATCTATGGGATGTATGTAAGTACCAAAAGCAAAAAGACTCTTAAGAGTCTTAAATTTACTTCCATGAATCAAGTAACAACTTGATTTGCTGGAAGCATTTTTAAAATGGCTTTCCCAATTGAGGATCTAATTTTTAAGTTCCTTTTTCAACCTTGATTTCTAAGTACAATTTCTCATATTTTGAATTTTACATGAAATATTCTTAATCTTTGAGATTCCCATTCATATTCAGATTTTTCATTTCATTTTACATCATTCATTAGATTAATGAAATTAAACAAAATTTAGCCCAAATTGGAGTTAAGATTCTGCTTCATTCTTCCAGAAGTTAAATCATTAATCCTAATGAGGAAACAAATTCCTTATTTTACATTCAGTATTTCATTCCCAGAAATAGTGGTTATGAGGCTGCATATACATACTCTTCAGTCATGTTTCTTCATCCATTACCATGTCACTGCTTGAAGTATCAAAGCATCCTTTTTTTCTTTTTGTTAGTCGCTACCTTTATGCTGACCCTCTCCATTGCAACATGACATACCTGTTAATGAGGTTGTTGAAGGATGATTTAAAAGAGTATACATATGCAGCACGCCTCTCAGGTTTGGTCTATGTCATTGCATCAGGAATGAATGCAATACTTGTAAGTAAGATGGAGGAACAGAAAGAAATGAGATGGCTTGAGCGTTATGCACTTGGAAAATGCTTGCTTTTTCAATACTTTTTGCATAACGGTTACCAGTTCTGTATTCTCTTGCATCTCTCTCTTAACTGGAAAAAACACTTGGTTTAGCTGTGATTGGAATGCTTTTTGTGACCATATAGTGCTTTAGTAATACATTTCTAATTTGCACCTTTATGTATTTAATAACCTGGAAAGTATTACCTTGACTTTTTTAGATTATCAGTCATTTAGGTTCTTTACACTAAAAAACAACAGAATATCCTGTGGTGTTAGTCTAACGTGTTTATTGAGGCATGAGCTTTTGCAGGATAGATTCTACTTTGTTAAACATACACTGAACTAAACTCCACTAACTGCATTATTGGCTATGGAAAAATTGCTTGCTGGGGTCAAGTTGAGTATTATAAATTGAGCTTATTTTTCTGTACAAATAATTATTTCTTACACATCATCACTGTCTGAGATTTTTGGTCAAATATAAAATATCAGTTTTATCTAACACCTTAATTGTCACTTTGAAGAGTTTAACTTCATTGTCTGAAAAACATGATGCTTCAAAAGATTTGTGTATTGTATAAATATTGCATAATATCGAGTATTATAAAATTGACTAAAAAATTGGATTCTTGGTGCTCTCTGAGCTTGGTTGTTTTCTTGCAGACATTTCATTACCAGGCTAGGAAATACCAGTGTGAGGAACAGTGGAGTTTGCTGGCTGTTTGTATATAGTAGCTTGCCCTGCCAGTCTTGGTGGGGGTGTGGCTTTCTCTTTGATGATTTCTTGAATAGGATATTGTTTCCTCCTTGATTGTTTATCTGGTGCAGTTTCCTGCTTATCTGGGTGTTACTCGCTAGGTAGCATGTGTTCTAGGCTGTTTGTGTCCATTGATGGCTGATTTGTCTGAATGCCAAGCTTCCAGGGTTACCTTAATCAGGGAACCATCACGGAGGAAGCCCCACACCCACCAAAACTGGTAGGGCAAGCTACAATATATAAACAGCGAGCAAACCCCCTCTCCCTCAGTCTGATGATGTTCCCTAGCCTGGTAATGAAATATCTGCAAAAAAAAACCAAGGGCAGAGTGTACCAAAAAACTAACAATTTGACCTTGAGCTACAATAGTCTCTTCTATTATAACTAAAATAAAATTGATAATATAAAACTTGTTAGCTTTTTGTTTACATATAAATTGTGCCATTCTCGGTCTTGAAACTTGAAATGATGTACTTAATAAGGCAACCTGAGTTCAGAGCTATTTTGCTTCAGGAATGTTACTGTACCATATATCTTTGGATCACAAACTGGGATCAACAAAGATAAATCAAAGTCAGTTCTTCGCTCACCTACCATGAAATTTCCATGTTTCTTGTATCATAAATATTCATTTTAAAACGTATTATTTATTCGGAGACTCTAGCTGTGTTCTATTGGAAGATACACTTCAGTTTTTACACTTATTTCTATTTCTAACATAACAGTGGATGTTCAACATTCTAGAAGATTGAAACATCCATATTTCACATATACATGCATACACTGCATTAGTGCAGTGAATAATGATAATGTAGATTATTAGTATAACTTTAAATAACAGTGTTGAAAACATTTATATGGTTTGCACTTAACCCATTTATATAATCATTTAGTAATCTGTCATATTTATGAATTAAATATTCTGATGCTCTTCTTTACCTTTGTAAGAACCTTGTGAACTCGTCTGTGTTAGAAAATATTGAGTAGAAAGTTTTTCTTCCATATTTTACTGTAATAATGAGGTCTTAAGGTACTCTTTATTTGAAGGGGGAAAAGGTAAGTTCTTTTACTCTTTCCTCACACCATATCAACATAGTTTTTAAAAATATTAAATACAGAAAACCATAAAGAGGTTTTGTTTCTTCCCACTTCCCAATTTAGACACCATTTTAAACTGCTTTGCAGCATGGTACAATATTTATTTTCTGTTGTAATTTAAATTCCACTATGTTTGTTTAAACATGTTTACATTCAGAGAAAGAAATAAACCATTATAGTGTTATGTGCATAATGTTATGTGAT